TATATATATATAGTTTTTTAATATTAGCAATAATATTTATCTGATATTGTAGAAATACCTTTATCTTCACTTAGAGAACCAGATCTAACATCCGAGGATTTCCGCGCATTCGTTATACTCGTTTTAATAGGAGGATGCAATGGGCTGCTAATTGGGCTTATTGGCGCTGAATTTTCCGATAAATACGTAGTATCGTATACGTATATATAATGACTTGGTTTTCTAAAAATAGATATAATATTTGATAAAGTTGTAATAGAAGCTATTATAAAATATAATAATAAACAGAGCATATTTTAATAATAATAATGGTACCGTATAATAAAAAAGATTGCTTGTTTTTTTTTAATAATTGGAAAATGTTAAACGTACGAAAAATTACATCAAGTAATAAAATTCTATAAAAAATATATTAAACTTTTTAGATTACTACATTAAGGAAACATACTTTAATGTGATACAAAACGGAATTATCCTGCAATTGATCGTAATCATTTGATTGTTTTTTCTCTTGCAATTCATATTTCCTTCGAATTCTCGGCCTTTTTTCAATTGTTGTTCCATAACAGAATAATTTTCATAGTATACTATTTCCGAGAGGTTTCTTCCCATCATCTCTTCTACCTGATATCCTAATAATTTTTCGCTGACTTTATTTAGAAACTAAAAATGTAAAATTATGATTTATGTATAAATTAAAAAATAACACACAATAATGCATATTTATGTGTGCAAAATATATAATTTTGCTCATTTTAGTGGAAAATGTTGAAAATGGCTACATAAGATGTAAAGTTTGGATACAAATACATTATTCGCGATACCTGTACAATGTTTTTATCATTGGTAACATGCACCATGTCGCGGCATCTGTCGAGTGCCAAATATAATGCATGTGCTGCTGCTAGTTGAGTTCTCGGTAATAATGAGCTAGTATATATCCCTACTAATTCGTTTATTAATATACCTTCATGAGAACATTCCATCAGTGCCTGAAATATAAGTAAAACTAAA